GTAACAATTAATTCTACCCTTATAACTACTTCTACACTCATTTCCTATGCTGAACTATGGGTCTTATTCTTTTTGCATTTAGTTTTTATGGCCCTTTTACAAAACAATGAAGTTATTTGAGTACATAATCCATACCATTACTATAAAATGGAGTAGTTAGTAATATATTTCCCAAATGGTGACATGTCTGTGGCTCTCAATTTCTCAAGCTATGGCATGGAGACAAACTTGGTTGGTGGAAAAGTAGCCCAACTATATCTCATTGTTATATCCCAACTGGATCTCATGGAAACGTCATAGGGTCAGGATTTTTTTAAATTGCTATCAAGGTCCATACTCACCATACTATAAGATGATTTGGAATTAACATTAAAAATTACCCAAGATCCTTCTTTGTCTACTTACAACCAAAAATATACTTAGAAATCTACAAAATTTAAAAAAATGAGCATGCCTCATCTCACATATTTGATAATAATGAACATCTGCCAGGCACCAAAGGTTTTGAAAAGTGGTAAACATGTGTATTGGATATGGTAAAAAGCAAACTGTGTCATCTGTGAAAGTAGTCTTATACTTCACTGAAAGCTTGGACATGAAAGCTAATATCATGGAGACAGTGTGTTAGTACATCAAATAGTTCATTTGAGATAAATAGTAAAATTAGACAAAGTAGATTTTGAAAGAAACAAGAGCAATGGTGGTGCTAGCCTTTTAGAGGTCCTAAGCAGTAATATTTTTGGGCTCCACTAAAAAAAAATACAAATTGCATTATTTCCATTAAACAAAAAATACATATATACCACACATACTAATGCACTTGTTATAAAGTCATTTCTATTCACAAACTAATACCTTTGTACCAGTATCTTTTGTGAATCATTCACACTGTTTGTACTGCATTTAGTAACCAGTTGGTGCACATGCACCACATGTGGTTACTGAAGACTAGCTGCTGCAATTTTTAAATGCCCATTTGTTTCTAAGAGTTGCTGTAGATTGATTTCATGGAAAACGTCTTTAGTTTTCAAGTGATTACAATACTAAAACAGGCAAAAGTCAAAGTTCTGATGAAAAACATGAATTCCCTGTCAATCAGGGGCCTGTTGAACTGATTGTGACCTTATGCAATTGTTTAGTCTGCTTATGCCTAAGTGCTGCCACTCTACTAGAGGCTGCAATACATTAAATTTTATAAGTACTAGTAGCCTTATATAAATTGTGTTTCTGTGTGTGTGTGTGTGTGTTTATATATATAGAACAGCCGAGATGGACCAGCAATTTCCTAGTTGTCCCTAAACATTATGTTATGTTATATGTTATCGTTTGGCAACAAATAAGAAACGTTTGTTCGATGGTGGACATGAGAAAGACATTGACATATACAGTGAAGCTTGGTATAGCTTGGTAGCCAGTGGTGCTGATGATTTACAAAAATTGGTGACACTCTGACTACTGACAAGTACAGGTAAATTCTGATTGATGATGCTATTCTTTAGGTACATTAACTGGGCAGAGATTCATCTTCCAACAGGTGAATGATCTCAAACATACAATAAATGTAATGATATGATATCTTGATGTTAAAATGGCTAATGGAACACTCTCAGCCATGGTTTTGCCTGCACAAAGTCTTGAGACTGTATGGAATTTTGCAAAAACTGAGAAGGTCATAAGGTAACCAAATAACTAGGCTAAATTTTGGGGGGTCATGCATGACATTTAAAATAATATTCCAAAATTGTACATTGATTAGTTGAAGTGAAGCATTATACCTTGTTTTAGGAATAAAAGAAAACAAACTAAATCAGATAATCATAAAATTTCAGGTACAAAAACAAGAACAGAAATTCTATGATTATCTGATTTAGTTTGTTTTATTTTATTCTTAAGTGTAAATATTATTATTATTATGTTGATATTGTTCTTGGATTTTGTTCATTTATATTTAACAAATCTGTTATTTAATTAATTTTGTGGCAGATAATGTTTAATTATGTAAAATGTAAGGTGGTGCATGTAGGTTTTCACAATTCAATCTTCAAACAGAGTGGTTGGCTTTTGGAATGAGCTGCCTTTAATGGTGGTGGATGCAGAAACTTAAATGGGGTCTAAGAAAAGATTGGATGAATACATGAGTAGTAAGTGGTGGTTATAGTTGGGAGCTTGGAGAAACATCCTTGGTGGACTAATAATGTCCTTTTTATCCCCTTGAAATTTTATGAATTTACAAGATGATTACTGTATCTTACTATCTACCACATATATATATATATATATATATGATCATGCACACACACACACACACTTAAACATTTTTTGTGGTTGAAGATGTCTCTTTAATGATGCCTTTTGACAATTACTTGATAAAGCTTTCTGCTTTTATCTTGTGTTACAGGTATTGTTTAGAGATGGATTATGAATGTGTTAAATTGAAATTCTGTTTAAAACTAGAATATACGTAGACACCGGACTTGCACTATTTGTTTTTTTTAATAGTAGTTCATCTCAACTATTGTAGCAATCTATAATGATAATGGCATAGCATATTTTGTGATTTTATTTTTATATGGAGGCAGTAGTTTAACTTTGGTTTTGGGGGGGGGGGTAGTAGTTCCTGTAGCTAAGACATGCATGAGGCTATTTGATCAAAACAATTTATTTTGATAAAGTACTCTCCCTCCACTCACAAGATTAACTTTTCTTGTTTTGTACTACCCTCTGTATGCAAACTTTTTCAGAAATGCATGATATATGGGGGATATATCAATCTCATTTGCAGGGAGATTGAGCAGTATATGAGACAACCTCTCTTGCCTTCTTCCTCCTATGCCTTTTGAGCTTGGCAATGCTAACACCGATTTTGATCATTTGTTCCCCCTTTCTCTTCAGTGGGCATTTTCTCCAGGTCTTTGGATGACCAATGTGGATGTTTCCAGTGCTTACCTACATATTCCTGTGGCAGAGCATTCACATCCATATCTTCAGTTTGTCCATCGGGGGGTTGTGTACTAGTTTCACTCCTTACCTTTTGGCCTAGCCTTAGCACAATACATGTTTTGTCATGGGATCCACACCTTTGCTTGGCATATTCATGCTATGGAGTTGTACCTCCATGTTTATATGGACAACTGGCTTCTTGCTCATTCTGAAGGGGAATTGGCCTGTCACAAACCTCAGCTCCTAGCCGGAGCTGTGCAGGTGGGATAGTTGGCCAAATTGGAGAAGTCTTGGCTTTGTTCTACCAAATACCTTATCCATTTGGGTTTTTTCTTCAACACCCGTCTCAGTCAGACCCAACCTACTACTTTCCAGCTGCATTCTATGGAATGGGCCATTCAGAAAGCACTTTCTGTTCCCTCACTTACAGCTTGTGAGGTTCTATCACTTTTGGGGCTGAGGTCCTCCAAGACCCCTCTCATGTCTATGGGCTATGCCCATGTGCAGTTTCTTCAATGGGTCCTTCATGATAAATGGAACCTTTCCCGGGATCCCTTGAATACTTCTATATCCCTTCCCTCATCTCCATTGGTGGTTGAACAGGGCCCACACCTCAGTGGAGGTCCCACTTCCTTCTTTGCAGCCAGATTTAAATCTGTTCACAGATGTATCTCTTCAGGGCTGGGGTGCCTGGGTGGATCATCAGGAGTCATCGGTCTCTGGGGGAGTTCTCTTCACATCAGTGTTTTCAAACTCCTGGCTGTTAATTGGGCTTTGGGTCATTTTTTTCTTTCACCAGCCATCAGTTTGTTATGATCCATTCCAACAATTCTATCATGGTGGCTTATATCAATCACCAAAGTGGCACCAGGTCCAGATCCTTGTATTTCTTTATTGGGCCCACACACACATCAAATTTGTTTGATGTTCTGTCATACACAGGTGCGTTTGATCTTGTAGCCATTTGTCTTTCTCGATGGGATCACGTTTATCTCAGGGAGTGATCCCTACATCCTGTCATTTTTCAGCATCTGGGTACACCCAATATCGATGCCTTTGCCACTATCCTTCATCACAAATTACCTTGGTTTTGGTCCCCAATTCCCCACCATCGAGCCTTTGCTGTCGATGTCTTCAGCCAGGATTGGTCTCATCTGTTTCTTTTATGTTTACCCTCCCATCTACTTACTTCATTGGGTGGTCTCCCTCATCCATGCCACTCCATGCATAGTCCTGTTTGCTCCATACTGGCTCGCTCAACCTTGGTTCCCTCAGTTGCTTGAACTGCAGGTGGTCCCACCCCTTCCTGACATGCTCCATCAACTCCAGTCACCAGCACTCCATCCCATGCTGTCCATCCTTTGTCTTCATGCCTGGCTTTTGGTGAGGAGTTCCAGTTTCTCTTGCAGAGTATCTTCACATTTAGCTCACTAATTTGCCATTCTTTTGTGGCTGTCTATCAATGCAAGTGGAGCATTTATCACTTCTGGTCATTGACTTGGGGTTTCTAGGCTTCTCACCTAATGCTTGCCTCTACCTCCAAGTTTTTCATGTGGCTCTTTGAGAGGGGTTCTTCAGTCTCCTCAATTTAGGGGTTTCGGGTGTCATATCACATACCCTCCATTCTTTCCCATTTCTGTTGGGTTTTTGCTTTCCCTGTCCTTTCCATGTTAACTGTTCCTTCCAGCATTTATTGTTCCCAGACTGGGACATTGATGTGGTTCTTCATGCCCTCAGTTTTCCTCCATCTAGACCTCTGTCTGTGTGTTCCCTGTTTCACCTCTCTTTGAAGGCATATTTCCTCCTCCTACCCTGTGGGAATTGAAGGTTGGATATTTTTACCCTTGACATTATCAGGACCTTGTACCACTCCTCCTACCTTATCCTTTATCCAGATCTTGCTTTCCTTCCTAAGACTTCTGCAGTTTGAAAAGGCCAGTCCTCCTTTACCCCTGTCTTCCTATCCTCTATATCTCATCTTTACCCTCATCTTTCCCCAGTTACCCTGACCAGTTGGGTTCAACTTTTGATCCAGTTGGCTTATTACTTCTTGTATCCTTCCCAGCATGATATCTTAAATGTTTCCTCACATCAAACCCATCACTTTACCTTCTCCCTTGCCTCTAGTCTTTGTTGGCCATTAGAAGGGATTCTCTGATTAGTCATATGGAACTATGGACATTTTGATCTTCCACTACCTACACCGCATCATTGTTTCTGCTTCCTTGGGTATCACCTGCCACCTGTGGCTATTCTACAGACTTTGATATGGCTGTGACATGAGGTAAGCCCTCACTAATGCTTTCTTTTCTTTCATGGGTCCCTGCTTCAGCTTCATTTTGGATCCTGCTCTGTGGTGAGTGGTGCCTGACCAGGTATTCTGTCTGAACTGGGAATGTGTTCCACTTAGATGGCTATAACCATTCATAGACATCTTGCTATCAAATCTGCACTGTAAGCCATGTTGATTCTTATACATTTTCCATGGCTATGTATGCTCACCCTTGAGATAGGATGTTTCACATGATCACTAGAGTGTAAATTCCTCGTGATAATTGCTTCATAATATGCCCATTCCGGACTGTACCACCCATGGATGGCATGGGTAAAGCAGAAGGGGATTGCTGCCCATCCCATCCCTGCCATACCTAGATTGAATAAATTGGTGTGGTCTGCTTTTAAAAATAGGGTTTCATGATCACCCATTGACTGTCTCGGGACTCTGCTCCACACTTTTTCCCCCTTTCTTCCAGTGCAGTATGGGAGTCCTTACCACTTACCAGTTCCAAGCCACTGGGGTGGTTGACCATGGAGGCAACCTGCTGGTTGGGTTCAACAAAGATGACTATAACCATCCAGTTCAGAGTTGGGTGTTGTTTTCTGCCAGTGTAGAGGGAGTTACAAGATCCTCCAGATGAGTGACTATTTTTTGGTGTTGAAACGTCCAAATGCAGTTCACCCCTCTGATTGGGTGCCCTCCTCCTACCCTCATGCAGATGTTGGTACCCAGTGAGTGAGGTTTTGGAGATCGAGTGAACCAATCACATAAGTCCTCACACAGGTTTTGAGTTGTCCATCTTTCCCACTCAACTTGTCTTCTGTGTTGTGGGTTGCAGAAGGTCTATGTGGCCTGTTTCTGCTTCTGTCCTGGGTTTTCCTTCATTGGGTGATGAAGTTGTTACTGACCTGGGGTCATTTTTGGCTGGTTTCATGGTCACAGGGGTTGAGTGCATGCAATGGACTTCCCTCGGATTCCAGATGACATAATCCCTGGCATTAGGCTAACCTGTGAGTTCCTGGAGTAGAATGTTAGGTTCCCTCTTGACTCTGGGACTTGAGGTGAAGATGGTATGATCCTCATTCTACCCCTTGTGAGGATGTTGGTACCCAGTGAGTGAGGATTTATATGTAGTTAATTTACTATCCGTCATGCCCTAGCCACTCTCCACCATGGAACATATCCTCACTTGCCCACTTTCCATCTTGGAAATGAGTGATGTGGATGTGCTCCCTCTGATTCTCCTGATCATGTCAATGTTTCTGGCAAAGAGATACCTGTCTCAGATGTGGTGCAATGTCCCTGCTCAGATCATTTTATCTGTTCCTCACATTTCAGGGTGTCCTCTAGATGCTTCTGGGGGATATGCCTGTTTTCCTTGCACCAGTAGCTCTTCCATTTTGATGTGGGATTCAAGCTAATTTTGTGAGTGGAGGGTGAGTACCTTATTGGAAGATATAATTTTCTTAAATGAAAATGTATTTTTGATTGGTACTTTCTTCAATTCACACTTCCCAATCGTCCTCCCCATAATCTTCTGGTGCTTGCATCTGCAGCCAAACTTTGAAGTGATAGTTCGATAGTGTCATGTAAAGGGAGTCACATGCATCACGTGATAGAAATGCTCACCTATTGGTGGAGAGTTGACACATGATGATTTGAATGAGAGATTTGTTGGAACTTTGGATTCCAACAGAGGGATGATGAAAGCCTGTGGCATGCATTTTTGAAAAAGTTTGCATGTAGAGAGCAGCACAAAATGAGAAAAGCTAATCTTGTGAGTGGAGGGAAGTACCTATCAGACATGCATTTTCATTTAGGAAAATTATAACTTCTATTCTTGAAAAAGTACAGGGGAGACATGTCCTTTACCCCATAAAAATTACTTCTATTTACACAGAGAAACTTGATTGTTTTTCACTTCAATAACTAAAATTAAATATAATAGTTATTAGTGTTTATAGCTTGTATTGCTAAAAGCAAAACAAATATTTTGAAAAAATTTTCAAGAATGTCACCAATTTTCAATTTAAAATATTTCAGTCTTTTTATATTAGAATTAAAACTTGGAGATCTTACATATATTAGACTAAACACACAGAAATACCATCTTTATCAAAGTTTTGTGACAATTAAGTAATGTTTTCTGTATTATTTGTTTCCTCATTCTTCAGATTTTGTGACAGCTGCTTAGTGAGTGATGAGAGTGAAGAAAACACACCCATATGTCCTTCATGCAAAGCATCTTTTGACCCTGAAAAGAAAAGAAAAGCACATAACATTAACAAGATGATTTCAACTTACAAAGGATTATGTGTGGTTTGCAATAAACAGGTTGTTTTTTTTACTTTTACTGTTTTATGGACATTTTCAGATATTTAAGGCCAAGCACTATTTAATTAAGAGCATAGAGTTTAGGTAGTTATCAAGGTATTTAGTTTATGAATGACTAATGTTGTTTATATATAATTTTCAATCATGTAGTGATTTTTATTCGTGCTTAGTAATCAGAGCATTACATGATAAAATATTTCACCAGCATTGTAATTGAATCTTAGTGCAAAACTTTAGTTAATTGTAGAATAGGATCACATTTAATCACTTTTTTTTTAAATGTTAAAATAGAATTTATGCACATGTATCAAATGAAACCTTTCCACTTCTCCATGTTTTAGAATAGATCAGAAAATGAAAATTGTCATCATAATTCTTGGCAGGCCACAGTAAGGTTAAGGTTAGATTGGTTAATAATTACAGAAATATAAAAATTGAAATAACAATCAGATGTAGTCACTAGTTTAGTTTCTTATCGTAACATATAACATTTAAGGACAACAAAGGACTTCCAACACTTCATAGTTGTGGAGTTAGCATTTTAATAAAGCATTACTTCCTCATGTTTCCCGCTTATGCTTGCCTGTATCTCGGAGTTTCTCATGTGGCTCTTTGATTGGGAATATTCATTCTCCTTGATTTTGGGTAACTTCTGTTGATCCATTCCTTCTGGGTCTGTTCACCACCAAGGTGTCAGTCACTCCCAGACTGGGACATTGATGTGGTTCTTCATGCCCTCACTTTTCCTACATTCGGACCTCTGTCTATGTGTTCCCTGTTTCACCTCTCTTTGAAGGCATATTTCCTCCTCCTCCTACCCTGTGGGCATTGTAGGTCAGATATTTTTGCTCTTGACATTACCAAGACATTGTACCACTCCTCCTACCTTATCCTTTATCCGGATCGTACTTTCCTTCCTAAGACCTCTGCCGTTTGAAAAGGTCAGTTCTCCATTACCCCTATCTTTCTGTCCTTTATATCTCATCTTTACCCTCATCTTTCCCCAGTTACCCTAAGCAGTTGGGTTCTGCATTTGATCCAGTTGGCCAATTCTTCCTTGTCTCCTTACCAGCATGATCTCTTTCATGTTTCCTCACATGAAATCCATCACTTTACCTTTTTCTTTGCCTCTCATCTTTGTTGGCCATTAGAAGAGATTCTATGATTAGTCATGTGGATGACTCAACACACATTCATCTCCCATTACCTATGGCTATTCTACAGACTTTGGTGCAGCTGTGACATGAGATAAACCCTCACTAATGCTTTCTTTTGTTTCAGGGGACTTTGCTTCAGCTTCATTTTGCATCCCGCTCTGTGGCGAGTGGTGCCTGACCAAGTGTTGTAGTCTGTACTCGGAATGGGTTACACTTAGGTGGCTATCAACATTCACAGACATCTTGATTTCAAATCTGCACTGAAAGCCATGTTAATTCTTATACATTTTACATGGCTATGTATGCTCCCCTTGAGATGGGATGTTTCACAAGATCACTAGAGTGTGAATTTGTCGTGATAATTGCATCATAATATTTTCCGTCCCAGACCGTACCACTCACGAATGGCATGAGTAAAGCATAAGGGGATTGCTGCCCATCCCTGCCATGCCTAGGTTGAATACATCATTGTGGTCTACTTTTAAAAATAGGGTTTCATGATCACCCATTACACTGTCTCGGGTGTTGCTGTCCCATGGACTCTCCACCACACTTTTGTTCTGCCAGTGTAGAGGGAGTTACAAGATCTTTCAGATGAGTGACTATTTCCTCGGAGATGAAACGCCTAAATGCTGTTCATCCCTCTGATTGGGTGCCCTCCAACTACCCTCACGCAGATATTGGTACCCAGCGAGTGAGGTTTTGGAGATCAAGTGAACCAGTCACATAAGTCCCCTCACAGGTTTTGGGTTGTCCATCTTCCCTTCTCTACTTGTCTTCTGTTTTGTGGGTCGCAGAAGGTTTACGTGGCCTGTTTCTGTCCGATGTTTTCTCACATTGGGTGATGAGGTTGTTACCAACCTGGGATCATTTTGGGCTGGTTTCATGGTAGCGGGGATTGAGTGCATGCGATGGACTTCCCTCGGATTACAAATGACCCATTCCTGGATCCCTGACATTAGGCTACCCTGTGAGTTCCTGGAGTCAAATGTTAGATTCTCTCTTGACTCTGGGACTTGAGGTGAAGATAGAATTATCTTCATCCTACCCCTGTGAGGATGTCGGTACCCAGCGAGTGAGGTTTTGGATGTAGTTGACTTACCGAGTACAGTCCGTCACGCCCTAGCCACTCTCCACCATGGGACACACCCTCACTTGCCCACTTTCTATCATGGGATAGAATGATTTTGATTTCTGTTTAATTCCACATTGCTAAACTATCCTCTCCCATGTGGATGTGCTCCCTTTAATGTTCTGCCATGTCTGGTCCTCTTGATCATTTCAGTGTTCCTGGTGAAGAGATACCTGGTTCAGATGTGGTGCGGTACCTCTCCTCAGATCATCTGATCTATTCTTCTCATTTTGGGGGATATGCCTGTGCTTCCCTTGCACCGGTCCCTCCTCCATTTCAATGTAGGATTCAAGCTAATCTCGTGAGTGGAGGGAGAGTACCTTATCGGAAGTTATAATTTTCCTAAATGAAAATGTATTTCTGATAGGTACTTCCCTCCATTCACACTTCCTACCTGTCCTCCTCACAATCTTCTGGTGCTCGCCTCTTCAGCCAAACTTCGAAGTGATAATTCGGTAGTGCTGTGTAGAGGGAGTCACATGTGTCACGTGTTAGAAATGCTCTCCTATTGGTGGAGAGGTGACACATGGTGATTTCCATGAGACATGTTGGAACTTTGGATTCCAACAGAGGGAGGATGAAGGATTGTGGCATGTGTTTCTGTTAAAAGTTCACATATAGAGGACAGCACAAAACAAGAAAAGCTAATCTTGTGAACGGAGGGAAGTACCTATCCAATATACATTTTCATTTAGGAAAATTATAACTTATTTTGATTATAAACATATTCATCATCCCTGTAAAAAAATCAGAGAGCGGATGGGTTCTCCAGTAGGTTTGACAAATGTTTGACATCAGCAAGTCAGGAAGGTAGGAAATTCAGACTTTAGGTTTTTGTTAGTAATTTTGTATGATTTGTGTTTATAATTGACTGGAAACTGTAGTAGCCTTTTATTCAAGTTATAAATTTCTAATTTTGAGAAATTGGAGATCAGATGCATCACATGACATAGAAAAATGAAGATTAAATTTTTTAAATATTTTTTGAAATTAAGAAAGTGAAACTTTTATTAAAATTTGAATAATAAATTACATTTTCATGCTAAGTTTATCGGCATACATAAAGATGTTTAGTTAAATTTTGAATGTAACACTGCAAAAAGTCGTAACTCTGCTATATGGAAAGCGAGAAATAGATCTTATGATAATTTACAAAGTTAGGTTTTTATTTCTGGTTATTTTTCCTAACCTCTTGAGTTGAGATTATATTGTTCAGTTAGAAGTTGGAAGTTCAGTTGTGTCATTTATTAAAGTCTCGGCCCCATGTATTGAAACTGTGAGTTTGTTATGTTTAACTTCAAAAAGTTATAATAAATACTCTGATGTAACATTTCAAGCATTCTTAGTGTTAAATAAAACTTTAGTTACAAAGCAAATGTATGGAAGAAAGCCAGTTGGTTCAGTAATCTAAACTTATCCTTTTTTTTGTTCATAAAGTCATAGAAAGACTTTGAATGGATCCAAACTGACAATACATACAGTGTAACATTTACTCCAATAATCTGTTTAATAAGAAATAATTCTATATTAAATCAGGCTTGCATTAAGTTTGTAACTTTATCTTTCCCAAAATAAAACACTATTAATAGGCAGTTTTACAAACCTCTAGACATTCACATCCAGTTAATTTAATTCTGCATTTTAAAGAAAATATGAGATTTATCTTTTATTCTTTAAACTACTCTAGTAGTCCTTTCTTTGTAGTCTACAGTGAATAATCCAAAATTGAACTTATTATTCTAAAAGTCGTCTAAGAAAAGATTACAAAACAGAATTGTTTCTTTCAGTTGAAATTATGCAAGTATGTGATGAGCAGCATGTTTTTTATTTGTTTACATAAGTAGAACCTCAACACAAGGTTATATTGATTGCTCCCAGTTCCATTATTCTAATGTAACTCAAGTTTTTTTCACAATAACATTTTCATACCCCAGTCCATGACTTCATGCTTTTAAATATTATAATAGGCTTTCTAAATCAGAGACTTATCGTTATTATCCTGATTTTTACTACCTGTAGGACTTAATTAAAAGGGTTGTATAAGAGTTATAGAGCAGTGTTTCTCAATCACTGTTTACAGACCAGTGCCAATCTGTCACAACCACCTTGCCAGTCTGTGGGATTTCATGAAAAGAAACAAACAAGAAAACAAAAACTGGCAGAATATTCACATGTAAATCATAATGTTTTTCAATATACTTGCATTTCAATGGTCCATGACAGTTTAAGGAGCCAGTGAGCTGCTTTCTGGTAACAAAAAAAGATTTAGAAACTGTTAAAATGTAGTCCATTTTCAAACAGTGTAGCAGAAATGTAGCCATTAGTGCAACTAGATGTAGCTGTTTAATTTATACAAGAAACAAAGTAATGGTTTTAATTAAAGTTATAGACTGAAATATTTTGCTTCAATAAATCTTTTATAGTTTTACTGTGTGTGTAGCAGTTACTGTGTTATGATGTGTCTGTGGAAATATAAGTCTTTGTTTACTTCCAAATTATTGATCTTATTGAATTCCTATATTTTTGGAGACATTTCATGCCTAGTGTGTGTGTGCATGCTTCTATTTTTTGTTCTTTCATTCAACTACAGTATAATTTGTATTTCACTGAGAAAGACCTGCCACAAGGCCTGCTATTTAACTGAAAAAAGATGGATGTACTACTTAAAAGAAAGAAGAAAATAATTCAAATGTGGTAAGGATTTTAATATTTTTTTTAAATGAACCTTGATTTTAAAAATTGTGATTACGGAAAAATCTTTCAGAAACACTACACACCTATCCACAGAACTGATGGCTATTTTCTTGCACCACTACCATAAAGTTTTTGTGCATCCACCTAGGTTTGAATGAAATTCCCACCCTTAAAAGTATTAATGTGTACTATGCCTGTCTTTGATACAGTCAGTATGAAAAGATAACCCCTCCAACTTTAGGAGGGTGACTCATCTTCTACATGGAGTAGACTCCATTAGCATCTCACAAAGACTCATTCTCAACAAAATGAAAGAAACACACTGGAACTAGAGATGAAAGGTGGGTGGGTCTGTGAAGAGGTATCTATCTGAAATAAATTTTCAGGTAAGAAAAATATTAATTCTGATATAATATTTTACCTCTTTTAACATATATTTCCTGATTTAGTGTTGGTCTCTATATGCAAATGTTTTCACTCATCACTAGCCTTGAGGCTCCCACCTAATCTCACATGTTTTTCTCGTGATATTGTTGCATGCAAATAAGAGTGTGATAACCCTCTACCAACAGGAGTGCAACACTGCCTCCTACTGCAATTGGTTCTCTCTATACTTATTGTTCAATCATCACTTCTCAATTTGACAGTAATATGTTAAGATATGTCTTTTTTTGGTTCACATGAGATTTCTGAACATTATTGTTTGGTTGAAGTATCTACAAAATCATCTGTTGTGGAAATATTTTTTGGTTTTATTTTCACACAATTCTACCTCTGCAGATTTTGTGGCTCTTATTTTCCACAACATGAATTACACAGAGATGGTCATTTCCACACTGTCTAGTGTTGAACATCTGGACTTTGTTCACTTTAGACTGACTATCAAAATGGCTTTGGGTGCTTCTCTTTCTGTCAGGAGACATGATGGTTATTGCATTGTGGGTGGTGGAGCCTTACACCTGGCCTGGGCTGTTTTCAAATCTTGACATACTTTTCTTCTCCTATAATTCCTGTCTGTAAGCACGTGGATTTTAAGCAGTCTTTTCCTGCTGCCTAAATTTGCAAACAATTCTTTCAATGCAGATGTGGATCGACCTCAACATTCTGCATCCTTCCATGACTTTTCTTCTCAGGTTTGTTACCTTCTTTCACTCTCTTCTATTTTTTATTATTCTTTACTTTACCCTCAGAATATTATGTTTCTTCTCCTTTTCTTAATACCTGTTGAAAAGTGTTTTGTCTCAATTTCACTCTAGTGTTGGTATGCCTCATCCTCCTCAACCTTAGTTTTCAGTAATGACAGTCTCGTCATTATCTATTGTCTGGGTTCAGTAACAGTGGGGGCCCATTTGGCTTGATTTGTGGATCTGTGGATTTCTTTTGTGGCTGACCATTGGGGATACTGGTTTTGTCTGTCTTTTTTTTTTCCCTCTCTTCCCCCTTATCTTCTGTTCCTTTTCCTCCTTCAAGGGATCGTGTCTCCAAGCAGCATCTCTCTGAGCTAGTGTCAGACATTTTAGCCAAGGATACTACTGAAAGTGGTTCTCCCATCTGTTTGTCATACCCGAGTACACTAGTAATTGGTATCTAGTCATCATTCTGTCCTATCTCCGTCAGTTTCTTGACCTTCCTTGGTCTACCTTGATGAGTTTTCTTATTCTCTCCCATGGTCTTTTTCTCTGTAGCTTTGGATAACCAATATTGATGTTTCTGATGTATATTTTCAATACTCATCTCCTCTGCTTCCAGACTTTATCTTTGGTTTGTACATCACAGATGAGTTTCAAGCTCTACTTTTGGTCTGGTGTTGGCCCTGTATGTTTTTTTGTTGCACAGTGTGTGCCTTCGATCATCACGTTCATGGCTTGGGATTGAGATTCCACCATTATATAGATGAATAGTCTCTTTTATTTTCATCCCAACAGGACTCCTCTGACCATGCTCTTCTTTAGGAGGCAGCTGGAATAGATTGATTAGCGAAGCTGAAAAAGTCTCATCTCACGCCATCCAGTATCTGGTTCATTTGGGTGTGTTCTTCACTTCCCATCTCAGCAAGGCACAGTCTTATCCACAGTGTTTGTGGGCTATGGACTATTTGGTTTCCACAGCTCTGTCCTCTCCTTATCATTATACAGTCTCTGTTGGGGACTTGGACTTCCTTGGAACCCCTTATCTCTTTGGGTCATGCTCACCTGCATCTTTTACTGTGGATTCTACACAATAAACGGAACCTCTCTTGGGATCTCTTTTCCAGAGTGGCCCCAATCCAGTGTTTTTTTTATGGCTTTGCATTTGTACAAGAACTTCATACATTGATTCCTATTTGGGTCTTATGTTCTGCACACATTGGCACTGATAGTGAACTCATTTGTCAGGAATGGTCTGATCTCTTCCTTTGTTTTTACCCCCTATTAATTTCCTTCCACGAGTTCTATCCCTTATTCAGGATGCTATTTCTTGGGCCATTCTGGTGGCACCGTATTGCCAGCTCATTCATAGTTTCCTCTGCTGAACCTCTTCATTTTTCACTCTCCCTTCTTCTTCTGCCTTCGCTTCCATTCAGATGTGCTGTTACTCTAGCTTTATGTGTGGAATTTATCCAGTCGCTTGCAGGATGATCACGATTCTTTTTTTCCATATGTAACCATCTTTCTCTCTCATTCTGTTTGCCTGTCCTCCTTAGAAGTTTATCAGTGAGAGTGGTGTATTTATCATCACTGGTCTCTGCTTCTATCCTTCTCACCTTCTTGTCCTTCTGTGGCTCATCTATTTGTGTTATTCACATGGCTTTTTGACCAGGGCTGGTCAGTCTTGACTATTGCTGGTTACCAAGAGGCTCTATCAATTAATGTTTAGTTGTCCTGTTACATTGGGTCTTTTCCTCCCCAGCCCTTCTCATTCTTCTAGCCTTCCTGACTGGATCCTTAATGTTCTTCATGCTTTTACTCTATCTTCCTTTGAACCTTTTGTTTGTTCCTTATACCATCTGTCCCTTAAACTGTATTTTCTTCTCCTCCTCACCTATGGTCATCAATGTTCTGAATTGTATGCTTTCAGTTTTTCTTGCTTTCTGTTACTTCTTTAGTGTTTTCTATCTGGATCTTGCTTTTCTCCATAAACTGTCTGTAGTATATAGGGTTATAATGCATTCACCCCTATATCTCTTCCTTCCATTACTTGTATTTTTTCCATTCAGATCCCAATTGCTTCCTCTGTCCTGTTCATGCAGTCCATTGTTAATTGGCCCACACTTCTTCCTTTCATGGAATTCTTCATCCACTCTCAATATTTCTCTTGTTACTTCCACTGGATGGATCAGACAGCTTATCCATTTAGTGTAATTTTCATTGGATGGAGAAGCATGTTGGTGTTTCCAGCTGTTTTCTCATCAAATTCATCACCAAACTCACTCATTAGCTGCTCACTTCCATTGTCTGTTGGAGAATTTTTGGGTTAACATTTGAATGACCTCTCACACCTGTGTTGCACACAATCTCCATCACCTGTCTGTTTCTTCCTCATCAGGCTATGGACTGCCTTCAGTCACTATTCTTCATACATCATACCATCTCTGACTGGAGAAGTCTTTCTTTTGTTTTTACTCTTTTTTCTTTTTTTTACAAAGCCCTGACAAATGTTGCCTGTCAAGGTATGCTTAACCAAAATTTCCACAGTGTAGGAACATTTTGGCCCAGTTAAGCATTCACACATGAGATGGGATGTTCCACAAGCTTGCTTGAGGTATCTTCTTGGTGCTTATTCTCCTGAACAAGGCCTGATTTAGACTTTACCCATTGTTGGACCAGCATGAGTAAAGCAAGTAGGGGATTCTAGCCTATCCTCCATGCCTAGTTTAAAAATCTAATGCTGGTTTGCTTTTAGAAATGGGATTTTTGTAGTCACCTGTTTTATTGTCTTAACCCTATCGTATTGACCTACTTACATAAAAAGTATGTGATGTAACTCTCATGAGAAATCTCTTTCCAAAATCAAACTAGTGGATGAAATTGTTTGAAATTTGACAAGAAATTTTCTAAAGCTATTTAGTTCCACTATTAGTTCTACTATTTTTAATGAAAATTTGTTATTTCATGCAGTTATTTGCCCTCGGACTTTTAACAGTTCACCTGCAAGGTGCTTTTTATACAAAGTATAAAAAATACTATTTCTTATCTTACAGTTTTCATATTTCATTTGCATAATCTCCACAACCTCATAAATTAATTTCAAAAGTTTTTTAAGGTCAAATGTTTATATTTAATTTTCTATTTTCTCTACCTTATCACTAACTCTAAATATCATCATCATTATCATACATTGCAAGGAAGTTTTTTAAATCAAGAAATAGAAATATGTACATACCTTTGAACTCTCCATTGTATAATCTTAAAATATCTTCATTTGGTCATATGCAGTTTCACATTTTGTACCTTTTCATTTATAGTTTATTTTTAATGTTTTATTTTTCTTTCCAATTCTTTATATTTTATAATTTATGAAGAAACGTCACTTCGTTCTTGTGGACCATCATAAAGCTATGATCCTCAGTTTCTCCTTAGCCTGATGCGAAAAGGTTAACTGTCTCTATATCTATAGCATATTTAGTGAGAAATCACTGTAAGTGCTATAGACAATCAAGCAGTCAACAATACTACAGGCAGTTACATACACCCCATGATGAAAACTGTGCATCAATTTCAAATTAACCACTGGTGGATTATAGTGTAAACTGAGCACTTTCTAACGACTATATACACTTGTGTCAACTAACTACATTGTAAATATCACGATAAAGTATAGAAGGTGGGCATGGCACCCATCAAGGGTTGGCAAAATTTATTGCTCTTTTTAATGCATGCAGCCAAAAGACTCTGTGTCTTATGTGTCAATAGTTCAAATAGATGTACATTACTGTCTAGACACTCATGTACAAGATAAAGCATCTATTTCAAAATATCCTCTGTGATAATTAAGAATTTTCATAGCATGTGAATCACATGAGAAGAACATTGCAGTTTAAATATTGTTTTTTAAACATTTTTTTGAAACAAAGGAATTAAAACTTATATAACATAAAAATTTAAATTATAACATACAAGATTAATTTCATTGACACACATGGATAGTAAAGTGATTTAATTAAATTTTGAATGTAACTCAATAACATGAGCAGAAAGGAATTTAAAAATGGCATTGTTATGATTGGGTTAAGGTGATGCATTCCTATGGACTCCCCACTGTGTTTTTATCCCCCTCTTTTTCTCCTTGTGGAGCATGGAAGTCTTTGCCACTCATTGTTTCTTAGCCACTGGAATGGTGAACCATGGAGGATGCCACCTTAATGTGACCAAGTCCACTCAGTAAAGAGTAGGGTGGTGGTGTTCTGTCTGTGTAGTACAGTTTACCCCTCTGGCTGGCTTTCTTCCATACTACTGCTAACTGGAAATCAGGTTCTCCCATGTGGTCTTCACTCAGTTGCTGGGCAGATGTTACTTTCCTGTTCTGCCATTACTGGGCTTGAGATGAAGATGGTAGGGATGCTCCTTCTAGTGTGGCCCAGAAGCTGAATTCCTGGTGCTGCCTGATCTGATGTGCCTTAGCCACACTACACACACATATAGCACTTCCGAGAGCTTGATGCAGGTTTTGGACTGTGCTTGTATCTTCTGCCTATTCTTTCTACCCTTCCCTTCCTTTCTAGTGAAGAGTGTACCTTGATACAGATGAGGTGCTGTCTCCCACGAGTGTACCCCCTATACTGTTCCAAGGTATAGGGTGTTGCACTTCATAGGTTATCTTCAGGCACTTCTTGAAGGGTGAACATCTAAGTAAAATTTTACACTGGGATTTTATCTAGTTGTGAGTATAGAGTACAGAAGTTAACATTTTATAGCACTGAAAATGCATTTCTGATATATACTCACCTATTCTCCCACTTCCAGTCCATCTTACTTTCTTGTCTAATCTTAAACTGATGATTAAACAATAAATGTAGAGGGAGATAGCTGCATTAGAAGGTGGTGTCACAATTCTATTGGTGAATGGCTGTCACATGCTCATTTGTATGCAACAACACAGCAATATCATGTGGAAATACATGAGATTAGGTGAGAGCCTTAAGGCAAGTGGTGAGTGAAAATGTTCTCATATAGAGGGCAGCATTGAATCAGGAAAACTAGATGTGAAAGGAAGTGAGTGTCTACCAGAAATACATTTTCATTTTTGAAAAATGTTAACCTTCAGATATGCTGCTCACCTCTCCTAGAACTGAGAGCTAGAATCTTACATTGTAAAGAAAGAAAATTAAAAGAAGATTAGCTTCTCTCTGATCATATACTGTCAGAAAAGGAAAAGTCACAGAAAGTGTCACCAACTTAGGGAGGGTGGCTAGTGGAGCATCACTCAGTAGGAGACTGTATAAATCTTATGCTGGGAATACTTTTCATCAGTGGTGCAAGATAATAGCTATCAGGGCTGTGAAGAGAAAAGTTTTATCTGGAATACGTTTTTAAGAAAGGAAGGTGTTAACATTACAGAAACATTTATAAATATGTATCTTGTGGGAATTTATTTCTTTTATAATAGATATCTTTTTCAGGTCTTAGGTAATGAGTAATATTAACGATCACTTAAAATAAGTCAATAGAAGTGTTATTAAGTTAGAATGACCGAAACTGAAAAAATACTGCATTTTTTTTTTGGATTATTATTTGGATCCACATCACCATGTACAGGGTTTTTGCAATAATCAGACAAAAAATAATTAGTGCTGAAATGCATGAAACAATATGGTTAAAAATAAATAAATAAGATATTAAAATTACAAACTGACCCTGAAAGCTATAGATAGATACTTGGAGAAAAAAAAAGAAAATTTAGTCAGGGTTGTTTAAGCCAACATGGTTGTCAGGACTTCAGGATAGGTTAGTTGTGCAAACCTGTTATGAATATCTTCTCTAGGTATTATTTTCTATGTAACAAGTCAGAACCATGTAAAACATCTTGCATTAAACAACTTCATCAGCATGCAAAGAATTTAAGCATAGTTAAAATTAAGTTCTTTAAAGGTCAGCCACACTTTTTCACTAGCACCTTGACATAAGGTTCTATTCTGATACAATATCTTATCTCCTCTCACAAAATAGCATTTCTTGACTAGCCCTGCCCTCTTTTGGTGCAAATTTTGAATGCACCCATTAGTCTTCCACCTTCCGCTTCTACATATCCACATGCAAATAATCATGCAGTAGCTCTCCATCAATAGGAGCACAACACCACTCCTGTCATAACCAGCACCCTCTTCACAGACGTGCTAGTTTTTGCTCTCAAATTTAAAGCATTTTCCATTATACTACTAAGTTAATATTTACTTTTTTTTACTGTTTGTTTAATTTTTGCATTTTGGAATTGTGGAAGGGTGTTTTTTCACACTTTTCTTACTTTTTCAGGGGCTTTTTTGACTAGTGTATTGTGGATCCCACTGTGTGGCAAGTGGTGTCTAACCAGGTATACTTCTTTTTTAGAAAATTCGCACTGTCCATCCTGTGACCATGTTCGATGTCAATTACATTGTGGCCCTTCCTATTGCAGACCTGATGTATAATCCCAGATGCTGCCAGGTGTTGGTTGTGTGTCTCCATTTTATTGTTATCTCTGAGTAAACTATTATAGAGATGGGGTGTTCCGTAGGACTGCTAGTAGTTCTCTCTAGTGGTTTTTTGCTTCATAGATATGTTTGTCCCATACTGTACACTCATGGACTAACATGAGTAAAGCAGACAGAAATTGCTGCCCATCTCTGATGCTCCATGGCATTGAGATCTTCCTATTGCAGACCTGATGTACAATTCCAGATGCTGCCAGGTTTTGGTTGAATGTGGTAGCTCTGCTTTTCAAAATAAGGTATTGTAGTTATCCATTGCACTGTCTCCAGTAATACAGTCCTCCAGATTCTCCAATGCATTTTTCTCCACTTTCTTCTAGTGGAGTGTGAGAATCCTTTCCAGTTCCTAGCCACTGGGGTGGTGGACCATGGAGGCCTGTCCTCCTGTGTGATGAATCATACCCCTCAGTTGAAAGTAGGGCAGTGACATTCTGCAGGTGTCGCTGGCATATTGCACTTTATACTGTAGACCTTATGTACAATTCTAGTTGCTGCAAGGTTTTGTTTGTAGCACTTCACTGTATTCCTGTGTATATATCTGACTGAGTGTTTTTTCCTACCATGGCATTCCTCCTTCCTACCTGGTGGGTCTGGTATTGGTTGGAGATAGCCCATTAACAATTAAAATCATGTGTCGATGGCATGATGCTATTTTTACCGAGGACCTGATATATAATTCCAGATGCCACCAGGTTTGATTGAAGTACTCCCCCACGTCACAACGATATATTTATAGTTGCGATTTGCCCTTTAGAGTGAGACTTCCTCCTACTTACCATCATTCGGATGTACATTCCTGGTGGGTGTGGTGTTGGTTGTAGATGGTCCAGCTAAGTAATTCATCATATGTGTGCTGGCTGGTATTCCTCCTCTTACAGTGGAATGCATGAAACATGGCCACTGCTGCTAGGTTCTGGACTGGAGTAGCACCCTAGGTTTGTGGTCCCTCTTCCTACCATCTGCTGGATGTCAGTTCCCAGCAGGTCTGGTGTTGGTTGTAGCTGGATGCAGCATGTTTTCCCACTTGTGTATGGCTGGATCTCATCCTACCACGAACTTGAAGTACCATACCCATTGCCATCAGGTTTTGGACTGGAGATGTCATCATGCCGGGGCTATCCACCTTCCTACCATCTGCTGGATGCTGGTTCCAAGTGGATCTGGGTTGGTTGTCTTGGAAACATGTGCATGTGGAGGCAGATTTTGGTATGATAGCTAGTCTTTCCCACCAGTTCCCATTTTGAGTTGAACAGGATCTGATGTACCATTCCAGATTGGATGAGGTCAAACTACCACTATGGTCTGTTGTGGCCTAGCCACTTAACACCCAAAAGTCCCATTCATTGGTCACATATATTCTAAGATTCCAGCATGTTTTTCCTCCTTTTATGTTTGCAACACAGTCATAAAATGGGTGAAGAGTATACCCAGATCAGATGTGACGTGGTCTCTCACTGAGGTGTGATGTTTTCTCTTTTGGTTCAATACCTCCTGGTCTCTCTTTGAGTGCTTCCTAAAGGGGGATAATTTTTTATTGGCCCTCCATCAGCTCAATGTGGGGTTATAGCTATTTTATGAGTGGGGGTAAGATATTTCCTACACTGAAAATCTATTTCTGATAGATACCTATCTTATCTCCCATTTCGCACCAAGCCTCCCGACTTCCGATGATATATGGTGTGGGTGAAGTGATAAACAAGTGCAGATGTGAAGAGGGCACTGGTTACGATAGGGGAGTGGTGTATTGCTTCTGTTGGTGAAAAACTGCTGCATGATCACTTGCATGTGAATATAAAGAAGTGAGAGTTGGAATGCTAGTGGTGTGCATTAAAAATTTGTGACAATAAAGGGCAGTGCTAGTTGGGAAAAGCTAATTTGTTTAAGGAGGTAAGTATCTATTGGAAATACATTTTCAGTGTAGGAAAATGCTAATCTTCATCTGATTAACAAAGTAATTTTACTGTTATTTAATACAATGACTGAGTGACAAAAGCTGAAATCTTTGGTTACTCAAACTGGCATCATGTAACCATCTTGCAGCCTTTTTACAATTAATGTTCCCTACTGCTGTTACAAGTGATTTTACACTGAGTGTTAAGAAGTATCATTCACAATTTCAGATGATCTTGATCCATACTTTTGTGCTTAATTGATTAACTCTCCATATATGGGCTCTGTCATTTTGACCAACCTTGTAACTGCCATGTAACTATAAAAGTATGCACACTATAACTTTAAGTATAACTATAACTTTTAGTAAATATTAGAAGTCTTTTGAAAACAAGAAATATATTTTTTAATGAAGTTTTTTTCTAAAGATTTGTCTTTCAATTTACAAAGCCTTTATTGAGGCAGTTTGAGCATAAAGTGATTTTTTATGTTTAAAATAAAATTTTTTTTGTCATCTTACAGTTTCTAATTTAATTTACATAAGCTTTAGAACATTTTAAATGAATATCAAGTTTTTTTTAGTAAAATGTTAATATTTTATCTGTTGTTTTCTCTATCCTAACACTAAATTTATGAAAATCAGCAGTGAAGGGTAAAATGAAAAGTTGAAAAATATACAAAATAAATCTAAATCACCCTTTGTTTTTTTTAGATTGACTACATATTGTAACAGATTATTTATTCTTACAGCTAAAGCTAATAATTTTCAAAATTGCTACTCAATTAATTTTTTTTGCTTTTTAGCTGTATTGTAAAACCTCTTAAGAGTATGGCAAAAGCTATTATCACAGTAGAACAGCTTTATGTAAACAAACGATCAAGTTACTAGTACAGTTGTCCAACTATACAATCATGTATGTGATATGCACATGCTATCATGAGTATGCTGTTTATTTAATTTTTGTTTCATATAAGTTTTTTATTTAACCTTTATTATACATCTCTTATTTTTTCATTTGAGTAATTTTTATAACAGTAAATGCAAAATATACATGTAAAACAAGAAGCTTGGTACTTACTTCTGGGCTTTTGGCAAAACTTAAAACTACTTTTTTTGTAATAATGGTAGAAGTACAGAAGATATAATGTACTAAAACTACTGTAATTTAACTGGTTTTCTAAGTAAGCTATAAATAAATTAAGTAATTCCATTAGCTAGTTGATATGAATACCACAATGGTAGACAAAGAAACTGGGGTAAGTAATTTAAAACCTGTCATCAGAATGAGCTAGCTCAAAAAAATCATTAACTAAAAATCTTCTTTTTTTATTGTTTTAAATATTCTAAAATCAAATGTCGGAGAGAATTATTAACATTTTTTAAGGGTAAAATGTGATAGTGGGAGTGTGGAATGTAACATTGACTTTCTTGCCTATATTTTAGTAAACCAAGAAGCTTGGAGGCTATAAGTTTACATTGTGGCTCAGAAATATCTGTACTATAAAGAAGAAAGATCCACCTTTTGAAAATGCTCGGGTTATCGGGTTTTATCATTTTATATTAAGACTTATGGAACCAATATGTTTTTCTGATGTCATGAATATAAGTGTGTAATTTATGACAAACTGAGAAGATCGTACAGGGGGGAAAAGAACAACTAAAATCAACTATTTAGAGCAAAAGAGTGTCACATTATACAGAGAAGTGAAGATTGAAATTTATTTAATTATTTCCTTATGAAATTAAGAAATTAAAACTTATATTAACATTTCAATTATAAAGTACATTTTGATGCCAAGTTTATTAACACATATTTATAATAAATTTGTTTGATTGAATTTTGAATGTAATGCTTTAAAAGGTCATGACAATGCACTCTTTGATCCTACACAATGTTTGAAGGTCAAGGATATTTTTACTTCACAAAGTGAATATACCATTCATTGTGATGGGGGAGAGAGAAAAATTGACATTTTTGTTTGACACTGGTCAAGTTTCTAACAACACTGATATTTATGCAACATGCAACGACTAATGATGGAGCAAACAAAACCTTACAAAAAGAGGGACTACCCTTGAAAGATTTAAAGGATCTCTGTGCTGATGACCCATTGTGAACATTGCAACTGAAAGAATGGTCATTGAAATGCTTGTTGAGATTGGTACACTTGCAGAAGTCACCATTGGATATTATAGTCACAATCCTTCTGGGAAAGGGTTGGATACTTATGGCAATAGTGTAGGAGAACTTGCTACAGACTTGTGTTATTAGTTCAAGCACTCAACAGCAAAAAAAGATTTTCAAGAAGCTCAGCAAAAACTACAGCTGGATAAGCACTTTTTTGTCAGACATGTCCAAGCCATAGATTGTTCACCATACTTCCATCACTACAGCTAATTCTTGAACAGTTGCAGGCTGTGAAAAGTACTTCAAAGAGCTCCATAAAAGAGGTAAATAGAGTGTACAAGAATAGGAAAGTCAGAAACAAAATAGAAGATAAACAAATTGTTCTCATCTATATGCCTTTTTTCATTTTCAATGGAACTAATCTTTCATCAGTTTCTGGAAATTTTCTAGACCAAATGCTCAGTGTTTCACATCTCTCCTTCTGACAAGGTTAGGTCACTGATGAGGAGAATCATCAAAGCAAGTAGAACTGAAAACAGATTCTTCAAGAAGTTGAAGTCAGAAACAACATTGTCGTAGTGATGATGAAATGGATAGTGGGATACCAACCAGAACTGCACTTTCAAGCCTGAAACATGATCAAGAAAAAATGCCTATGTTGGGCATTAAAATGTTTTCCTATTGACAGTAAACTGCTGAAACAATTGAGTAGTGTTCATTCAGACTCTAAAAAGGATAAAAGCTCAGAAAAAGCCATTATTCTTATTGCCACTGATTGTCTCAAGCAGGGAGAGGAAAATTATGGTATTTTTGTAGTAGACCAGTTAGAGAGTATATCTGATGGAGTTACAATGGGGATGAAAATAGAGTAGACTTTCACTAGAGTAAAGTGCTTAAGATGAAACTGTATGGAAGAATCAAAGTATAATAGTCACTGGTGCATTAGTCATTATGTGGTATATCCAGATGAAACTTAATTGTGTTTAGAGGTATATCGGATAGTTTCAGTATATAACAAGAGATTCACATAACTTATCGGGTATGAAGTATGAATTTGTCGATGTGAAATGGAACAGCAAGACTGGACAGAAGGTGAAACAAAATGAATGATGTTTATTATTACAATGGAAAACAAACGCAGTGTATGTACTTGCTGTTATCTACATGGGGCAGTAGCTTTTATTGGCTCTTCTCTGTTCAACTCTTTAAGCTAAAACCATATACAGAACTGTTTAAATGCATTGTTCCTTAGTTCACAAGAAACCTTGCATTTACCCTGAGTGACAGGTGCTACCCATATGACTAGTTATTTTTATTACAACATAAGTGGCACCATTACCTATAGATATCACTTGAAAAACCATTGGAGGACACTGCTATTGATATCTGTACACAATATGTCATATTAAGGTATGTTCTTCTTGGGTGGTAATAGGTACCATCTACTTTTGAGAACAACAAAGGAACAAAGGTAACTTGAAACAAGATCAGCAGTTTTTCTCAACCATGTGTAATGAGAAAGCTGCATTTATTCATAATAAAGAATGAGTTCAGAATATATTATAATATTACAAGAATATTGAAATACATGATATATATACATATATCACAGTACCATATGGGGATGCTGATGTGGAGCAAATATTACCTGCTAACAATAGGACTGTTACTCCTGAAAGAAGGTCCTTGTCAACTCCAGTGATTATAGTATTACATGTTACAAAAGATATTCTAAAGTGATAGAAAGGTCCACACATGGTGTCCTCACACCAAAGTTAATCCAAGCAACTAGGCAGTCATGTGCAGCGTATTCTTATGTAACACCTGCATGCAGAAAAAGGAGACCAAAAGTTGAAAAAGCCAGTGCCCTCATATTTCCACCTTGAAAACATAGAAAGAAAGAAAAAAATAATCTTGGATAAAGAAAAGTGGCTTTCTAGTAATAAAAAAGAAACAACACGAAGCATTAAAACTGGTGAAGTTCCATTCAAAGAATCCAATGCAAAACTTGAATGAGCAGTTAAGGCAGAACAGCAAAAGCTTTATTATCTGGCATGTACCAGTCTTAGGCAGTCTCAGAAAGGTGAAAATTCCAGTTATGAAAGCATTTTCTTTGTAATATTTTACAAGAAAAATTTTGATCCCTGTTAATATAATGTACATCATCTGTGATAATAACAGTTTCAAACAATAATAAATGTTATAAAAATCCTTAAACTACATAAAAACATTTATAAGTACAATATTTTAAGTGTAAGTCACAGTAACAGGCAGCTAAAGACTGAGTCTTATTGGCAGGAAATAACATAAAGCCACAGAAATGCCACTAAACTATATAAAATGATCATTTTTTTTATTTTGAGGTATTTAACTTTCATATTACAAAAGCTTTCTGGATTCAAAGATGCCAGATAAAGTTTTTATTGTACATTAATTAAGCATTCACTACTCAGATCATGCTAGAAATGGCAAGAAAAAATAAATACAAGAAAAATATTAGAAGTTGACTGCTGAGAAAATCTACAGAATCAAAGATAAGCATTTTGTTACAGAACTATTCTTTGGCACTTTCTAGAAAAATCAAACTGAAAAGGAATAGACTAAATCAGCTTTGTATGAGACCTTTACTTGGTAACGGCAGTAATTCAATAATCTGTTGGTTGAGACATTAATATGCAAAAGTAATATTAATTCCAGAGTTATGTACATTTGAATGCACAGTATTGAATGCTAACCAGATATTCTTATATCTCACTTGTCTGTTTGCTCACTGAGAGTTTTTTTATTTTTGTTTGATAAAGAACACAATGTATCTTTTATGTTCTTTTACATTTACTCTTTGCTTTCTGACTTCCTTAATTAAAGTTAGACCATTGTATGTTATACTGTATTTGTTGTGTTTTATGGATTTGTAGAATATGTCATGTGCTATCATAATCATAGAATTTTTTTTACTATATAGCCTAATGTTTGTGTAATCTAATAATTGTTGATTTACTGCTTGCTAAGTTCCAAAAGTAATTAATATAGTACTAGCTCTATGTTCGAGGTGTATTTATATATATATATATATATACCTGCTTAATTTAAACTCAGATTAAACATAATATTTCCTTCTCAGTTTTAGTAATTTCATATAAAATAAACACAACTGTAAGTTTGAATACTCTAATAAAGTGTTGCTTTTTTAGGTGAAAAAAAACCTGTTCAGGTTAAAATTCTACTCCGAACTGTAATAAACTCAGTGCAGCCTCACATCATCATAGAAAAATGTGGCTTGTGGCAGGTCCTACCAGTGGATTAGCCTCATCAGCTAAGTACTCACTAGTATTTAATAGCTAATTTCAACATCTTAATGGTAAAATCATTCAGATGAAGGTTTTGATCATTACAGGTATTGGGAAATAATTTCTTTATTTTCCTGTAATTTTGTGAAAAGAATTTGGTTAAAAATTGATATATTTTATGAGGCCTGCAATTATACATTAGGGTAACTATTCTTTGTAATATCAATCATTTTCCCCCCACATTTTTTTTTTATGATTTTTCTTCAAGATGGCCCTCTCAAAACTACAAGTACATCAGATGTTTTGCTCGAACAAAGACAGCGAGGAGCTTGGTGCATGTGGAGGAGAGCCAGTACCAGAAAAATCAGTGCTGCCAGATGAGCCAAATAGAATTACCTTTAAATGTCCTTACTGTTCATTGAAGGACTTGAATGTTCATAGCTTACGTGATCACTGCAGTCAGAAACATGTGGGGGAAAATATGAATGTGGTAAGCCATAGATATACATTTATAATTGTTCATTAACACAGCTAATGTTGACTAACTATTATGGAATGAGTTAATTCTTTCTGTACGTAAGGGAAATTTTTATTTATTGTAATTTTTATGATTTTTCTTCAAGATGGCTCTCTCAAAACTATAAGCACATTAGATGTTTTGCTTGAACAAAGACAGATTTTAGTGCATGTGGAGGAGAGCCAGTACCAGAAAAATCAGTGCTGCCATTATTAAACCATTATTTGACAGAAGTTTGTGTGTACGCTTATCCATTGATAACTGGTGAACTGCTGAACCAATTGCCTCCAAACCCAGCATATATCCTTAGGCCCCCTAGGGAGTGACATAGAGAGTGAGTGTTTGGATTTGACCCTTCTGTGTTATCCCTAGGGGCCAATATAGTGTATGACTTCCCATGCTTTAAATGAGTACGTCACTAGTAAGCCATGGATGCCTGCTGGAAGGGGCAAAAGGAGACATTTACCCCCTCACCTCTACATTTCACAAAAAAAGTGCATGTATTATGATGTAAATTTAACATCATAGGTGAACTAAATATTTCAATAATTTTTATTAAAGCTGTAAATTTGTGTTTGTGTTTAAGCACACATAACACATATTTTTTAGTCTGTTGTCTTATACTGTAACAGCTGATCCCCTATATACATGTTTTGTCCCCCTTGAATATATTTCTGTGGGCACCCATGTAGTTAGCAGTGTTTACAGATTTTGACTGCGCCAGAATGATATTTGTATATTAATAGTAAGAATAATGTAAGCCTTTTATTTTGTTGTTAGTGACATTTTTTTTATTAGAGGGAAAGCTACAACAATGATTCAACATTTTTAAAAATTTAAGCTTAGTGCTAGCTTTTAAATACTTTTAAGTAATTAATTAAAATTAACATCATAATTGATTTTTAACAAACTTCTCTTTATAGAAAGTATTAGTTCTAGACTAGCCTCAGGGTTTGTTATGAAATTGGCCTTTGTCATGAACACTGTTCAGGCAGGAAAAGGCTCGTACTTTTATTTGTTAATATGATAAAAAAAAAATTGTACATGCAGCAATTCACAGAGATATAATTTCTGTGCTATTAAATACTTAAGCTGTGAGAAGTTGCAAACTTAAATGTTAGATGATATTTTGGGGAAATTAGATGTAGGAGGTGTTGCCACACGTCACATATACATCCCCAGTCATGGAGGACATAATATGTACATTATATAGGACATCTTGGGTTTTCCATGTTCAGCACTTCCAGCATCAAAATCGTTCATCTCTTTATATGCTACTCACTTTTTGTTTCTGATGCTTGACCATATTATTGTGCTTTTTTGTCTTACTGAATTGTATTTTTAAGTTTACATATGATTCACAGACTTACTTTGAAATGATAATTGATGATTTGTTAACAAATAGAAAGTTCAAAGATTATTTACTTTCATATAGAAGTTTGTAAGTTTCACACAATTATTTTCTATAGTTTCATTTTTCCAGGTACACTGGTATATGTATAACAAAATGGTTAATTTACAATTGTACACCACCATTTAGGCCTACTTGAGGTAAGAACTGTAAATATTTGTAGCTAAGCATATCTGATGTAATATGAAACTCCAATATTGAAATTAATATCTGATTTTATTCACATTCTAATCAAATTGGAATTTGGTAATACACTATGAATTCACCTATTCAAAACTGAATCAAGTTCCTGACTATTTGTTAAAATATATATAACACTTAATACAAGTACATATTTTGATAGACTTCTCAACAACTTAATGACACAATATGATCACTGTATATTAAAAATTCAAATAATGAAATATTTCAATGTAGATTGTAAACAAACCTAATAGACAAGTACATTAAGATACTATTGTGTATTATTTTCAATGCTGTATTTTTAAGGTGAATTTTTTTCCCCTTACTGAGTCATTTAATTCAGTTAGTAAATAAATGATAATTTAAATGTTCATATTGTATACTAGAGGAAATTTTAGTATTAGGTGATAAGTACATGGCATCTAGAATTTTCTTTAAAGTTTGGAAATGAATTGAACAACATTAAAATGTTGAATTAGGATAGTGTAGTTATTGGACAGATGTTAGTTAGTAAGAAAGTTTGCATTTATGCTGTATTGCATTTTTTGTGAAGTTAAGCCTATTGCTCCTCGAGCAAAATAAAATTCCTTTAGTTTCAGCAGATCATATTGATGTATCACATGTGTATAGCAGGCACATGTCTGTGAAAATTGAAGATTATAATCAGACAAACTTTTTCATTTATACTGGATGTTGCATTTTGAAAATATGTAAATACAATTTCTAAGTATGTGTAATATTCTTTGCTACAGGAGGTTGTTAATAATTGTAATTAAGCTTAATTTAATTTTTTTGTAATATTTACACCAAAATAATGATTATATGGTATTTCTCCTACTTTTCACATTTATTAAATTGAGTTGTCTGGTTTTTAATATCTTAAGAAATTGGTGGTAAGCTAGTAAAAAATGTAAACATATCCTGACTGGCTGCTTCCATTAGTAATGTAAGAAATGGTTAAATGGATGTTTTGTCTTAGTTATTCAATCTTTGCTTAATGATATAGGTTTATTTATTTATTAATAACCATTAAACTTTATTCTGTATTTACTTATCTGAAGTTATCTTTATAGGTTTGTCCTGTCTGTGCTTCCATGCCATGGGGTGATCCTAAGAAAAGAAGTGCTAACTTCATTGTTCATCTTAATCTTCGACACAAGTTTGAATATGAATTTTTTGTTGTAAGTCCCACTCATTTATAATTTATTAGTGATATAAAGCATTGAATATTCTGCTTCTTTAAGTACTTTTTAACATTTACTGCACTAGGTATCTTTAGCATGATTCAATGCATCAAATTTAATTTATCTTTGAGGTGAAACATTGAAATTTCTATTTAAAAGAGTGCTAAAGCAACTTTTTAAATTAAGTCTTAGACCACTATTAACCATTTTTGTGGCTGCCAACACTCTCAATATGGGCTCATCCAATTTGATCAACCATGTGACGTTTTTGTACTTGTTTAAAGTCTTTAGAGATTTAATACTTATAACTCTCAATATAGTGGGTATATCTTCCCGAAATTTGGCAGTCTTTCACATATAAAAAGTCATATTTCTTAGTGAAGTATTGTTAATAAAATAAAATAATGATTTGTCCATGAATATATTGAGTATTTATTTGGAATAGTCCATGCGCAAAGTAATTTTCATGTTAAAATTAAAAATACTTTTCCTCATATCAAAAATCTCAAATTTTCTTGTGTAATCCCTAAACCTTCTAAATGCATTTCAAATGTTTTTTCTCAATAAAACGTTATAGTTTATCTGTTAATTTCTCTACCTTATCTCAAAACAGGATTGGTCAATTTGACTGACCTTGTAACCACCAAAAAAAAAAAAATCGAAATAAACGTAAATTACCTTTTTTCTTTCTAGAATGACTTCAAATTGTAACATGAAACTACATTTATTTATCCTAAGTAGCTCTAAGTTTTTAACAGTATACATCTATTTATAATTAATATTTATTGTTTTATTGCCTTTTGAACTGTATCTAACTGCTATCCATGCCATTATAAGTTGTAACTTACTCGGAGAACATGCAGGTCACGTTACACTATCGAATTACAATTTACATTATCCACTAGCTGCTCACGTGTGTGCGTCATGAACCATTTTATTATATTATTATTATTATGAATTATTTTACCTAATCTAGTCTTAAATAACTTTAAAAGATCCGTGGTTTAAGGTTTTAGTTACTTTTATAATTATACATAAAGAAAAAATATGAAAAGCAAGAAATAAAATACTTAACTAATCTTCTTTTTTCTTGCTGTAGGGTTTCAAAGAGAGTTAACCCTAATTTTTTATACTACGAATAGTAATGCATTTAATAATTTTTACTTAATTAAATAATTCACCAAAGAATATAAACATGCAAAAAGTAGACAACTTCTCCTAAATCTCAAAACTGACAATTATCTGTTCAGATCACAACATTATATAATAAGTCATTTTATAGATGAAAACATTGACTTTTATTTGGTTATAGGTAATATATAATGAAACGTAAGAGAGAACTATCAACAAATTTTGAAAGAGAGGATGTGATAGGTGGGTGTGGCAAGAGGG